AAATTCACAATCGTTCTCACTTTCAAGAATAAATCAAAAGGATCTCATGTGGGCATGCTTAATTCTAGAAAATAAGGAAAATGATAAAAGTTTAATTTCCCTTTTCAATCATGCTCAAATGCGAATAAATCAATTTAAACCTCGCCACCATCTCAGAAAACAATTAAAATATGCTTCAAAAATTTACGAGCTTTACCATAATTTACTTACCTTAGTCACGCAGAACAGGAGGCCTAATCCAAGTGCTAAGACCACAGGGCAATCAAGGACCTAATCACAATATTCTCGAGTTAATATCTATAAGGAAATTTCATTCCTTTATTTATTTTCATTTTTGGCTTTTCTATCCGGAAATTAAGCATTAACCGGGATTGGGTATTTATCTATATATCTACAATTATGTAATTACCCATATACCAATTTCCTCAATTTCATGGACAAGCAATGGGAGAACCGGCCTTGACAAAAATGGCCAACTCACGGGGTTCTCCCCTTTCCTCATGGACACACACAACAGCCAAACCCCCTAATTTCCTACACAATTCATCAACCAAAACCCATCTCTCAATTAACCAAAACTCATCCCCCACTGTAATACCCCAAAATTTCCTAGAGCATATAAGTGGAGTTAGGGACTTAATAGTGAGGAAACATTATTAATGGACCTAACTGTCAATTTTTCAAACTTTAAAGGGGTTAAAACTCTTATTGGATAAGGCCGGCTGACTCATCTCTTTTTCCTTTTTCTTTTCTTTCCTTTCTTCTCCCAGCCATTTCCGCGTCTGCTCTGTTTTTTCTCCCTGCTGCAGCCGAAGTGAACCCAGCCATTTTCCAGCGTCCCCATCTGCAAATTGGTAAGAGAACTTGATGATTTTTGGTTTCCCTCTTACCCAAGAACAAGTCTAGGACTTTGAACTTCTCTCTTTTGCAGAAAAGCCGCCGGATCTGCCCTGCTTCTTCCCCCTCTGCCGCCGGCTGCTGCTGGTTTTTCTTGGTAAAATCAGCCCAGAAACTCCTCTTTTCAGCCTTGATTTATGTTAGGTCACTCTAATCTTGTTGTTCTTTCAATTGCTAGTGGCCCCGTGAAAGTCCCCCCAATTTTTCCCGCCGGCTCCTCCCATACCCGCCAGCTCCAGCTTTGCTTGTTGAGCATCTTGGTAAGTTGGCTTCTCTAATCTTTGAAAATTGGTGGATTAAGTGCTGAATTGTGAGTTTAAGTGGCTGTATGAAATGGGCTTGAGTTGTCCGAGAGTTTTGTTGAAATAGGGAGGATTTCGGCAACTTGAGCATGGGTTTTGGTTGATGATTTGTGTAGGAAATTAGTGGGTTTGGTTGTTGTATGTGTGTCCGAGAGAAAAAAGAGGAAATTCCCGAGACTTGCCTTTTTTTTTATCAAGGCCGGTTCTCCCAAATTCTTGTCCATGAGTTTGAAAAATTGTATATGTGAAATCTTGTAATTAAATATACATAGATAAATACCCAATCCCAGAGAATGCCCAATTTTTGGATAGGGAATAAATAAAGAAATAAAATTTCCTTATAGATATTAATTTGGGAATATTGTGATTAGGTCCTTGATTGCCCTGTGATCCTAGCACGTGGATTAGGCCTTCTGTCCTGTGTAATTTAAGGTAAGTAGATTATGGTAACGCCCTTCAATTTTAAAGCATGTTTTGACTTGTTTTGAAGTGGTGGCGAGACTAAACCCGTTTTACATAAGTATGACCGATTTAAAATGAGATTGTTATTCTTTTATTGACTTGAGCATGCCTGCTTGGAAATTATTTAACTGCCCTGATGATTTGGAAATTATCTGCAAATTATGATTTTCTGTTAACTTCTGCCTGTTTTGTCTCCGATACGGTCATGTTATCCTGTTGCCCGCTAGTGGGAGGTCAAACGCTAGCACATGTCGACATGTTCCTGATAGAACCGGTTCGTTCCTGTAATCCTGCTAGTGGGAGTTAAACACTAGCAATTCCTGTTGCCTGCCAGTGGGAGGTTTAAACACTGGCCATGGCCTATAGAGGAGACGTCTATTTCGTTCTCGTATTGTATCTGTTTTCGTGATTGTACCTGTTGGCATGTTACAAATTTTAATTAAGGGCACTCCATATTCTACTTATTGAGTTTATCTCATAGTTTTTCTTGCCCACCATTTCAGGTAGTGAGACCCGACGCGTGGGAAGCCCGGGAGAGTGACGAGCTAGGCGGTTAGGCACTTTTGGACTTAGGTTTTGTAGCTAAGCCGTTAGTCACCCATGCTTGACATAGAAAATTTTGTGTACAGGATTTAGTGTTAGTCATGATTGTATATATAAAGGGATAAATTTTGTACATTCGCTGTTAACTATTTGGTAAAGTAAAAAGGCTTAGATCTGAATTACCTGAATTGCTAAGTAAGAACTCGATAGGTCTCGAGCCTTGTGCATTTGTGGGCCCCGCTCACGAGTGCACGGCGTCTGTTCCGCTCTCGGTTTGGGGCGTGACACCCACCTTCGGCATCTTGGTCCTTGACAACCCAAACACCCACACAACTAATTAAAGCTCACAAGCAACAATTAATCCACCAATTTTCAAGGATTAGAGAAGCCAACTTACCAAAAATGCTCAACAAGCAAGCTGGAGCTGGCGGGATGAGGAGGTGCCGGCGGGAAAAATTGCAGGGGGCTTCACGCAGACTTCTAGCAATTGAAGAAAGGAGAATTAGAGCAAACCCACACACATCAAGGTTGAAAAAGAAGGGAATTCATGGCTGATTTTACCAGGAAA